GGAGCCTGACTAAGGAAACCAATTTTTAAGATTCTTAGCTGTACATATAAATGATCTCTGATGCCTAATGTCTGCATATTCATAATTGATTAAAATATAACAGTGACATTTAAATATTTCTGATTGAAGTGTAATAATGTGATATCTACACAAAATTTTACAGTAGAAAGCTGTGACCCTTTCCCAACGGGAATGAAGAGGAGCTGAGGAAGAAAGCTGTTTACTGACTACTCTCTGTAAGTAGCATGGGGGATAACTGTTCTGAAGATTGAAAAGATTAAGAAGCTACTTTTCTGAGGTGTCCCAATGTGGACACCAGTGTTTGCTTTTGTTACAAGTGGAAATAGTAATGGCTTGCACACTGGAGGTGCAAAGGAGAGAAAGAGATCTATGGAAGCATTTAAGTTTTCAGTGACTTAATTATTTTCATCTCTATGAGAGGAATGATTTCAGCAAATACACCAGAGGAGGAAGGGCATGCTTATAAATGGATATCTGATCTGACTATCTTTCCAAGGCTGGTATTAAAAATAGAAATTCAAGACAGATTTTTGTGTGATATGCCAACTTATTTCCAAAGGTTTACAAGTTACTAAAAATGTGAATTATATAACTAAATATTAAATGTCTAGGTAATTTTTATTAGTATCTGTCCCTATCCATTAAAAGACAGCCACTGAAAATAGATACTCTCATTCCATATTATCATTTAAGTTTCATTATATATCTGTCAATAATAAAGACAAGAGCCAACTAAAACATACAAAGAAGTGCTATATATTATAATAGAGAATATTGCCAAAGTTCCAAAGGTTGGCACTCCTGAACAAGTTCCTATCTTTTGCTAATAAGTAAATCCTTCTGGCTGAAGCTCTAATATCATTTATTATTTGGTGTTAAATGTTGAAATTATCCTTGAAAGTGGGCAAGGTAGTGCTCTTAGTAGCCCAGAGTAATTTACTTTTTGTGAAAGTAGGAACCATGGATGTAGACTAAAGGAGACACAAATGAAGGAGGAAAGAAAAGAAACAAGGAAGGAAGGAAGGAAGGAAGGAAGGAAGGAAGGAAGGAAGGAACAAAAAAACAAACAAACAAACAAACAAACAAACAAACAAACGAAGGAACAAGGGAAGATACTGGCTACGTAATGTCATTACTCTGCTCACCAGAACAGCACAGTAATGAGTGACGGCAGTAAAGTGCCAAGAATCCAAGGGGAGATTTAGAAAAAATAGTGGTCAACAGTGTAAAAGACCAAGAAGAGAATGTAAAGGACACATCTTGGATTTGACAGGACACGATTGCTGCCTTTTGTCTGACCTGAAAGTCCAGCTGCTTGTATATGTATATAAGAATATTAACTAAATACATAAAACAAAGCATATGTGTGTTATGATTTACTCTTAAATACATGAATAACATGACATTTGGGAAAATGCCTTTGGCTAGAATCACAGAGAAAGTTTAACAAATGGATGACATTTAATGTGAAACACACTAAGTGGAGTTTGCAGACAGACTTGGGGATGAGCTATGTCCTAGGTTTAGAGATATTTAAGGCTATCAGGAACTCTGTGTGTGTGTGTGTGTGTGTGCATGTGCCTGTGTGTGTGTGTGTGTAAGTTGACGTTCATTTGTGTGCATGTGTTTGTGAGGGCCAAAGGAAAACCTCTGGCATTATTCTTAGGAACTCTGTCTATCTCCTTTCAGGGAAGGTCTCTCATAGGCCTGGAGTCACCAATTAGACCAACCCCAGTGAGCCCCAGGGATTATGCCATCTCCTCAGCACCCAGGTGTGAACAACTAGCATGCATCAATATGCTGCAGATTTTTAAATGAGTCCTGGGGATTTAACTCACATTTTCATCTTTGTGAGGTGAGAATTTTAGTGACTAAGCTTACCTACCTGCCCTGGAATCTTAGTACATAGAAGATCAAAGAAAAGATCAATCACTGACCAACTGTGCCTCATATAGCTGAAAGTTAAGAATATAATACAGCATCATGACATAACATCACACTTCTCCATCATCTATGCTTTTAAAGAAATGCCATCAACTAAGGAACTATATCTAGGATATTTTGGGGTTGTCATAAATGAAGTCATAGAAGAATTTGAGGGAAATTAAGGCTTTGTTCAATTTTTGACCCCCAATGGCTCACTGAAGCTACATACTGTATATTATCATTAACCCAAACAAGCCTTTATGGGAGCCAAGTAGCTGACACACGCCACTTCCTGTTACCTTTGCCAGCTGTCATAGACTCCCTTCATATCTCTCTGAGTGATCTTGTGATCTGACAGAGGCTGTGCAGTGTCATCCTGTATGTATATACAATGACACAGCAATGCCCTTACAGATACATCCTTTTTTGGAAAGAAGCATCTGCAGCTCTGCATGGGGTCAGCATCCTTACAGCAGCACAGATGTTTTAAAACAGATGCATGATTGACAGAATATACACAGCAAAATAAAAGAAGGAAGTTCAAATAAACTGAGGTCATAAAGTTCCAGTGGTACACTGCTGTCCTCTTTTCTGTGAGTCTGAGTTTTATGACAAATGTCTGCTACCACTTCTGACATCATTCTGTCTTCTACCAGATAAAAGTCGAAAGGGAAACTGGGACTTGTGGGATTGCATTAGTAAGTAACATAAGTCCTTAAACAGCTCAGGCAGGGGGATTGTAAGTTCAAGGCCAACTTTGGCTATATTCCAAGAACTTGCTCCCAAAGTGGAAATGAGCCAATTCAAAAATTTCTGCATCAAGGAAAACTAACTTCTTACAGTCTAATGTCAATCACAAACCATTGTGAGCCTCTTCTTTATGGACTTCTTTTTGTACATGTAAGGACAACATATGGTTGTCCTGAAGGTTCTATCTCAACCTTTAAACACAAAGCACTTTGAAAGTGTGTCTTCCAGAACCTTTCCCAAAGTTGATGTGAATTTGCTCCCAAAGAACTCCCCATAGTCTTCCTGTAGCCATGTTTTCTTGTATGTGCTCAGCAAAGGCATCAAAACCTCTGTCACAGCAAAGTCTTTGTAGGGTTCTGCCCATCAGCTACTGTAGATGCCAGCCAAGGGGTTGGAGCCCTGTCCTGTGTGGTCACAGAGTTTATATTTCACATGAGTTTAGTTCACTTATTAATTGTATGAAATAAATTTTGTTTATATATAATGATGGAATTCTGAATAGAAAGACCCACATACAGAGCAGAAATTAAGTCATTGTCATAGGGGCTTCATATATGTGCAATTTAAAAACTAGAAATGAATAAAGTAAACCTTAATGTCCCAATTGAATCGACGCTCAGTTTTGACCAAATGTCATTAACACAATAACCATGATGGCAAGGAAGAGAAGAGTGGCTTGTTGGAGTAGCTAATGACTGCTAAGAGTTTAGTGAACTAACTGTAGCCCCAGCCTAAAGTTAGCAATGCCTGCTGGTTATTTCTCCTTTTCACAATGACCTTGTGTTTCAGATTCATATAAACCACCAATTCAAAAGATAACCTTACACTTGATAAAACATTTCACTAGCTTAGTTTGTCCTTTATCAACAAATTTCTCATTTGTATATCTCAATCTCATGTTGCCTCTGCCCAGGTGTACTTGGAACTTTGGGCAGCATTTTAAAGAAATGTTAGTAGCACATGATCTAGGGATAGAAATGCCATCGATCCTGCGAAAAATGAGAGACAGCTTCCATTAAAAATGGGTGCCTGAACCACTGTCCTACCATGTGTTTTTGCTGTGCCTACCATCATGCTGATCTGAGTTCCTTGATATTAAGTCTGACTAATACTTGTATCTGCACTTGACTTTGAAAGATCCCCTTGTCCTGATTCTTTGAAAGATCCCCTTGTCCGAATCGTTTTGTTCTCACACATTCAAACTCGGCTTTCTCGTATCAACATCAGAGTAAGGACTACAGCATCTTTGATCCTTTGCCTGGACCTCCTCTCGGACCTGCTAGCAACAGCAAAATGCATGTATTGATACTAATACACTAATTGACAATGGTAGTTTCTATTCTACATTTCCCATTATAAACTAAACATAGTAGCAAATAAAGTACATTCTATGCTACCAAGAACAATTACATAAGGATAACATGGTCAATAAAACTTATGTAAACAAAGAAAGTCATTAAACTGTCCTATATCAGGCGTTATGTTGTTAGCATAATGATTACTTTAAACAAAACAGGGGCCTGAGATAAACCTGTATCATGTCAGGTGAGGATCAAGGCTTGGTGAAAAATAAAAACACTTTTGCTCAAATTATTTAAGTGAAAACAAAAATGTAGATAACCACGTAATAAAAATTGTTTTTAAACTCTTTTACTTTTCATTTGCACAAGTATTACTTATTTATTTTAGGAAATCTATGAATTCTAAATCATGTAAATAAAGTGATGAATGATCATTTTATTTCTCCTAAATTACTTTTAAGCACATTTTGTTGCAGAATAAATATTTTGTAACCTACATTTAATATGTGTAGTCTTAAATACATGTGGGTAATTTCAACTTCTTTGATATATAACTTATTATAACTTTGTTGATGACTGAGTGTTTGTCTTGAATCTATTTTTGACTATAGTTCCACATGAGAATACCACAGCTAGTAATTATCACAGTTTAAAGTTTCCCATCATTTCAGTTTGGTATCATACTTGTTGTGTAAGTAATAAATAACAAATTCATAGTTCACCAAATATGCCCAAAATTATACACTATATAGAAATAATCACATATTTGGAAAATCAAGTTGTGACTACAAATATTAATTTCTGCATTTCCTTCTCCATCTTTGCCTATCCTTTAATAGCAAAAATGTCTTTTATATTTCACAATGTGGAATTGAACTCAAATGCCATCAGCTTCTATAGATATTTTTTTTTACAATAGAGAAATCTTTCTTTTCTGCCCCTTGCGTGGGCAGGTCGATTTTCATTGAAAATGGCTTCAAGCTGGCTCTAATATTTACTCACTTATGCAGGTACGTTCGTCAGTGTGGCGTCTGTATCCTGTGTCACACTCACAGTGGAAGGTGCCCAGAGTGTTAATACAGCGCTGCTGGCAGCCTCCATTCACCATGGCACATTCATCCACATCTACAAAAGGAAGACAGATGGTCAGGATTACAATGTCATTCCAATGTCAACTTCAGAGAAGTGGGACAAATATTTCTTTGATACACAGTATGCATTATATTATACAAAGCACCATCTCCGTTACCACAAATCTATGCTTGTTTGATCCATTTTGCTCCACCATGTAAACAAGATGTCATGCACCATGTCAGCTTTTCAGGTTGTTTGTTTGAACAGAATCCATCCACAAGCATTGTGATTGTCTCACAATTTTCTGTTCCTCACACACTGGCTAATTAGACAGCCCTGAGATAAAGATAATTCCTTGGGGAAGGAACTGGAGGTGAGAACTGCAATGAACTACTCTGTCTGGAGCAGCATATGCCAGTAGATAAACACCTATTTTTTTTTGGTCTGACCACACTGAATAAAGCCAGTAATGGAGTTAAGACCTTGAGTCTCCTTCCCATGTGCTACATTTGAATCAGAGCAAAGTCAGATGACTCAAATGAAACCATAGCTTAGTGGCCGCAAAAAGATCATCAATACATTGGACCCACTGATTCAGCTTCTTGGGCAAAAGGCCGTTTTCTGGAACACCATGTTTGTATAAGAGGTTGCTTATTCACTTTTAGAATAAAATGGAAAATAGTCGAGAAAAATTCACAATCCCCTAAATTTTATTATCAGCAACAAATGCCATCAGGATACACAAATAGGATATTGATTTCTCATTGAAAAAAAATTATTTCATTTACCTGCACTTACAGTTTGTTTTGCCTCGTGCAATTACTAATTACATATTTAAAATTAGAAGAGGAACAATTTTAGGCTACCATGAGTAACAAAAAAATATTCTAAACTGCCTTGTTTGGAGGTTTGTGTAAGTTAAAATCAGTGTATGATAATAGATGCTTGTAATCTCAAAGGTCTGGATTTTAAAACAAGAGAAATTTAAATTTCAGGTTAATCTAGGGTACATAATGGTAGGGAAGGAGGAAGGAAGGAAAACATTTACAAGGTTTACTATAACAGACCTCCCTAGCTTGGGATGTGGAATTTCAGGGAATAGTCAGATTCTCATTGCCAGAAAATTCAAACCTTCTGGAAAAGATATTTCATGTTAGCAGTCTTTTCTAAAATATGAGTCACGTACCACACAGTTAGCTTTAGCTTTTTCCTAAGGCACAGAGAAAGCACACTACAACAATGACTATCATTGCATTTCTCCATGTCTCGAGATCAGGACTGGTAAGGAATATTTGACCAAAGGTAACAAAAGAGTTTTTAAATTCCTAGGTATTGATTCTGTCTCTTCTGAAATAAAAGTGACACTATATTTTTCACAATTCAGTATATCTTTTGAAAAAAATAAGATATCCTGGATAACATCCTAATATTTTGAAAGTAAATTTTATTTCAGAGATAAGAATTACTGACATGTCAAAATGTAAGAATTTTTATTACATCCTGAGTCTATAATAGCTTGCCTCTAGGTTTTTTTTTTTCATACAAATTGATGATTAAACAGAATTCTCTATTTGTTGCTTATTCTTTGTGCAGAGATTTAATATTTATACAGATTAAGTTTTTTTCTTTCTCTCTTTAGGGCATTATTCTGCAGAGTTGCTATATAATTCTGAATCTTAACTCTCAACCTCTAGATTAGACCTGGGTCTTTGCATTTTGGGCATATAAAGAAAACACTTAATTCCCAAGTATATCATCTTTTTCGTGATAAATTACTTGACAGCTCTCATGAATCATACGGTAACATTTTATATGTGTATAGATAAATTGAAAAGAGTCTTTAAATGCATAAAAAAGGATAAATTATTTCTTCTGGAGAAAAAAGACAGGTGTACCCCATAACAGAATAAACCGTCAGTTGATGGGATAGAGTGTTAAACAATTTTTAATGATTAGTTTATTTTAATTTTATATGCATGTGTGTATTAGTTGTATGAAAATTTGTGTGAGACACAGTGGCTACAGAAGACGCCATCACCTCCGTTGAAACTAGAGTTACAAAAGATTGCTCAGTGCCATGTGGGTGCTGGGAACAGGACCCCAGTCCTCTGTTAGAGCACACAGCTCTCTTAAATGCTGAGACATCTCTATAAACCCTAGACAACATTTTAAAGCATATGTCGGGCTCTCGTTTGCTATAAGAGAGAAAGCCACACAGATGCTATGTGTATATGAAGAAAGTAACTTTAAAAGAAAGTTTATTCTGATAATCTTCTCATGACTTACAAAGTTTTAGTATTTTCTTATCAAAGATGTAGAGTTTATGAAAATTTTTTTAAAAATCACTAATTATGCTCCCATGATAAAATGGATATGGTCTTGACAGTTAGTTTCTCTACATAAGCTTTGGCATATTTATATTCTTAGTCTACCTGTAAGTATTTACTATGCTGTACACCCCCCCACATAAATATATACAAACACACACACACAAACATGCATACACACACATCAAATACCCTATGTTCTTTGAGTCACATAGTGTTATAGGAAATATTCTACTTTTGGAACTTATCTCTGAGTCATACTTGCTTCCTGGGGACTGCTTCCTTACCATAAAATAAGGTGATAAGGGGGTTCATGTGTCCTGTGCTATGACTGACTGTGTTATTTTACTTGTTCATGCATAGCATTCCAGGATAAATGGCTAATTCTTGACTTTATATGTAGATACAAAACAACAGGTCATTTAATGTCATTAACTAGTAGAGTTGGCAAAACAAGATCTTGAGGTGTGTCAGGAAGAGTGAGCAACAATTCAGAGGAGTCTGATTGGCTTAATGTGAGAAGGGGGAATAAAATGAAAACTGCCTGAATTGGGGAGCATCCAAAGTTGCAGCAAATGCAATGTATGCATTTAGATCTGTCGAGCTGGACAACATGGTTGACAAATGAAACATAGTTGAGAAACAAAGCCCCAGTCTCCTTTCATTATTTGGGTAGTAATACGGTCCTTGTCTTGATTTGCCACATACTCTTGGGCAGGTTGAAACATAGGATCCTGTGTTCACACAGCAGTCAAGCAAACTTATTAAAAGTTAAAAGCTCAATCATTTGTGAAGTGCCACCAAACATGAAGGTATTGCTTTGACTTTTTCCTTTATTATCCTCTTTTAGGAGATAGCAGGTTTTCTGATTGCTCTGACATTGTGAAATCAATAGTTCTGAAACCTGCACGCACAATAGAACCACTTGGCATGCATTTTGAAGTACCAGTGCCAAGGTTCAAACTTTAGTCTGATTTAATCGGTCTTATTATTAGGTCTGGGAAAGAAAGCAATGTTAAAAAAGCACCCTAAGTGATTCTAATGTGCAACCTGAGCCAGGATCACCCGGAGTAGTTAAAGCTTTAATTACCCAGAGATGTTGTTAAATGCAGACACTGATGCTTTAGGCCTGGGACTTCTGAGATCCCACATACACAACTAGACCCAAGGTGATCTGGATGTAATTGGCTTGTGGGTCACAAGGAGCAAGCCTACGGATACTCCTGTTCTGCCTCAACGTCAGGATGATCATTGATGTGAAGGTCTGGCTCAATCTCACAGGAGTTTAACCAAATTAGATCAAACCAGTCCACATGTTTAAATCAGTACACCAATCAGATTATAGGCATATATATCTGTGTATGCACATATATTTACATATATAGACATATACTACAATAATTGAAATTATTGAACATTTTATTCATCAGAAACCTACAAAAATTGACTTCCAAAAGTATCAATGTGTTCACTCTAATAATCATAGCAAGAGAATGTCGCACCATTTCTCATGATATCCCATCTGCTTCTGTAAAGAATGAAGGAAATCTTAAATCTTTTCTTTTGGAGTGTGTCTTATTTAGGACAAATCTGAGCTGAGCTGTCATGATGCTAGACACTCATGCTGAGGCTACCTCAGGAAATTTTCTTTCCCTCCAGACTCTGTCCAACGGAGTTAAAAACCAGAAATGTCAATATTACATTAAAATGTTATTATCAAGTGTACTTCACGTGAAGAAACAATTTCTCACAAAATTCTCTGAGTTCTGTCTTCACATCGGTTGCCTACAGAAAGCCTTGCCCTTGGAATTGGAACCTCCGGACACTGCTGAGAACAGTGATAAAGTCATTAGAAATTTTTTTCAGTATTATCACTGTGATATAGATCCTGGATATAATACTGTAAGAGACTGTCAAAAACAATCAACTATGTCTGTTGTTTTTCCTTTTAATATATTTTCTGCTGGTTTTACCCTCCAAACTATTTCCCCAGATGGCCACAGAATATAATAGCTTAAGAGAATTCACATTATTATCAAATGTGCTTTGCCCGTGAAAGCTCTCTGAGAGAACAATGAGCCACGTTTGTTACCATACAATTGAAATTGTTTCCTGTCATTTTTTGTTTAGAGTGTATGACCATCTACCCGAGAACCAAAGTAAAGCAAATTAGTCTTCCACTTGCCCCATAATACACTTTTCTCAGAAAGTTGCTGATTGAATATAAACAGTCCTGGGGCTGGAGAGATGGCTCAGCAGCTCAGAGCACTTGCAGCACCCACACTCCCAGCACCCACACAGGATAGCACCTGATAGAATGTAACTCCAGTTCCAGAGGATCTGACACCCTCTCCTGGCCTCCAGTACCCACACACATGGTAAACACATGCCATGTTTTACAGACACACGTACACATAAATAAAAATATAATGGGTAGAGCTAGAAACAACACCCCTGTGAGGTAAACCCAGATTCCAAGCAAAATAGTACATCTTTTGTCTTATATGTGGATGTTAGCTTTTAAGCTTTAGGTACAGTTGTTTCATTTGGAATGACTCAGAGGTTAGGCAAGGGGAGGTTCAAGGAAAAGGAAATAGAGTTTAGTGTTATAAAGGAATAAAGAAGAAATTAAAATAGGAGGATTAAATAAGGAGAGATATAGGAGGACAAGGTAAGGCTGGGGAGTATGAGGAAGGACACCTTTGAAGACTGTATGGAAATGTG